ATATATATGTATATATGAGCTGATGCATCTGTATACATATATATATAATCATATAAACATTTATATATATCCATATATAAAACCGTATATATATAGAAACATACGTATCTTTATACTCGTCACGTAACACCGGAATTCACACATACATCCCTATATACGTATCCCGCAAACCTTACATTAATGAGATCTGACACATGTCTCGAGAACACGTCGAATAGTTGGACGTCAGTGGGCACCTGGGCGGCGTCTGTGAGAGCATATGTAGCTAAGCGGTCGATCAGGCTGTTGAGGATAGTCTTAGCATTGACTTTCGGCTGTAGCTGAGCACACCCGTCTAAGAAAACAGACAGCGAGCGTAGATGGAACTCGTCTGGGAACACCTGCGTGCCATGGGGGAGAGTGTATAGGTGGTGGTCGGTGTAGGTACATATAAGGTATCTATAGAAAAGACGCAGGGAGACCGCCGATACGTAGGTAGGCGTATGTGGGTAGAGCTTTTATACGTAGGTACGGTTACATAAAATGTATCTATGGAATAGGAGCAGGCAATTTGCCAATACGTAGGTAGGTGTATGCGGGTAGAACGAGTTTACATAGGTACAGATACATACAATGTATCCATAGTATAGAAACAGACACACCGCCAATACGTAGGTGGGCGTATGTGGGTAGAGCGAGTATACATAGGTACAGATATATATAATGTATCCATAGTATAGAAACAGACACACCGCCAATACGTAGGTAGCCGTATGTGGGTAGAGCGAGAAAGTACTATGGGAGTGCAACTACACAGATCACTCAGATTATGCGCAGGTTGGGCGAACATTGCAGAATATAACAGGAGCATAGTTTATGCATAGTTTGATTGGCAATATAAGGTGAGAAGCCTCACAACATCGACAAGACGAGAGAAAGAGACAAGGTATCACCAGTGAAAGGACCGAACTTCTGGCCAGATATAACTAGAGAGTGAAGAAGAAGTAGGTCGCATGCCATGTGTAGGTAGGTATGGGGAAGGTAGGGCGAGTAGGCGGGTATAAGGCACCTGGATGATGCACTGCATCAGTTATTGATGAGGAGGTGAATGAGTGGATTGCATACCATTGTAGGTAGGCATTGGCAATTGTCAGTAGGTGTTGACAACTGCAGGTAGGTATAAAAATATGGGTAGGTGAAACGTACCTGGATGATGAGCTACATCAGATACTTTATATGTTGGGACTATATATACATATATTTATATATGTCTACTTTCGTTTTGCAATTAATAGCGATTATATATGACAGGAAGTGATAAAAAAGTTGATCGCCTTCAGTTCGCAGATAGGCATCGGCGAATATAGATGGGTACTGTCAATCGTAGGTAGATATTGACAACTGTAGGTAGATATATAAATATGGATATGTATGAGATACCTGTATGATACACTCCATCAGATACTCCTGGGCGATGGCGTCGCGGCAGTTGACGATCTGTTGCATGAACCCAGGCAAAATAATCTGCGCAGACAGAAGGAGTGAAGGACAAGCATGCATAACCAATGAAAAATAGGTCGTAGGTATACCAGAACACCCAGCCAGAAGGCGGGAAACGAACCAAAACTACAAGAAAAAGGGATGGTGCACTTATATTTTTGGTCGGTGTAAACAGTGCAAGAGACGTGTTCTTACCTACTTCCACGACAGTTGTCACATCTAAAACTTCGAGTGTATATATATATATATATTTATATGTAAATTTATACACATATATAGAAACATATAATATATATATATATA